AAGGTGCGTAGACCAGCCGATGCTTATTTCGGCACGGGTGGTTACCTTCAAGGAAATAAGGATAAGGTGCGTAGGTCAGCCGATGCTTATTTCGGCACGGGTGGTTACCTTCAAGAAAATAAGGATAAGGTGCGTAGACCAGCCGATGCTTATTTCGGCACGGGTGGTTACCTTCAAGGAAATAAGGATAAGGTGCGTAGGTCAGCCGATGCTTATTTCGGCACGGGTGGCTACCTTTAAGGTAAGGATAGTATTTGGGGAAATTGGTATTAGGCTGCCTCGTAATATTGCAAGAAATAGGAGATGGGAATAATTAAACTTGTAACCAAAGAAAACTGGTAAAAGCTAGTTTATTGCGCGTTTTGGTTTTTTACAAATGTATCTAAGTGCTCGCGGACTCTATCGCGCTCTCAGCTTTTCGCACTGAGTCGACGGGGGCTTCTGATTTGATATCTATTACCTACTAGATTGTTCGAAGACTCGATCTCACTAGAGCAGGGGTGTCAAACTCGCGGCCCGAGATGAACATTTTTGATGTTAAGTATATATACAATAATTTAACTTTATATATGTGTGTTTATTACAATGTACTAGTCAAAATAAAAATATTTGTTTCTATGAACATTGACTTTTTTTTGCGGCCCACCTAAAGTTAAGCATTGTTTATTTGGCCCAAGTTAGCTTTTGAGTTTGATACCACTGCACTAGAGTTTCCATGTCGACGAATGACTCGAAACTAGCCCGCTTTCTGGTCGCGTTTGGGCCCTTTATATAGCCAGATTTTCTCTGTAAAAATGGTAGTGGGGGTGTTCCTATGTGGTTCGATTCCAAAAACGTTCGTCGTCGTACCCCTTGGAGGTACTTGACTCGCGATATACAAATGAATCCCCGACTGACTGGCGCCAGCTTGGTGTATGCCTTTAGAAAGGAATATAAAAAATTCGTGGGAAGATTCTCCGTACGTTACAGTGTCGTCGCGTTATCGCGGATTTAATTTTCGTCTATCTCTCGCAGTCAGCTCGATTATCTCGCCATTGGTTAACTCTTTGGGGCACGCTGGGATTAAAAATGTCCCATCTTTTTGATGAACGGTAATGCATGGTAAGACATTTTTAGACCCACCTCGAAATATTGCTGCATGCGCATTCATGAACCCATGTGGCACGATAGGACTATTTGAATCCCACCCTCTATAACAACAAATTGAATTGAATTATTATTATTATTTCATGTTTTTATATTGTGCGATTCCTTTGTTAATAAAAATATACCAATTCTGTTTCATTTAAAACGCAATAAAATTTGTGTGCAACATGGGTCTATTTTTTTTCTGAAATCCTGTGCTCCAAAGAGTTAAGGGTGGATTTTGGTGGAGAAACGTAGCGATTTTCAGTTGGGCGTGGCTGTGTGCAAAGGAATTTAGAGTAAGGTCCTTTTTCGTATTATCTACGGTCGTCAATGGTGTATTTTCGTTAGTCGCTTTGGTGGGTCTGTCGCAGGTGTTGTCCATCTGTCGGACCCAAGGGTCGAAGGGTTGGTCAGTATTAACGGTACTTTTTCAGGTATACCGCCTAATCCGCTGGAAGGACGGCGATTTTCTTTGTTGCCAACATAATTTATAGCTCATACTTTCAAGAACCCTTCAATTGCATTCATTTGAGTCTATACTGTTGTTTAATTGCTGGTATTTATGAAAAATTTAGTCTACCGTTACTTTTGTATGATTTACAATAGAAATTACCAATGATCTTGATCTGAATAACATTTATGTAATATAATGTAATGTAATGTAACAAAATGTAATATAATGTAATTTAACGCAATATAATGTAATTCAATGCAATATAATGTAATTTAATGCAATATAACGTAATATAATATAAATATAGTATATAATATAAAGTTTTACAATATAAAACTAACATAAAAAGTAGATATTTTTGTTCTAGTATACTTTCTCATTTCAGTCAATGCTTACAGGGTTAATGTGAAAAACCTGGTTGCAAATGTACATCACTGCATAAACAGTGTATATTTATTCGCAAGCAATATAAAAATTAAATATTGCTTTGAATAATCAATTTTCGAGCCCTCGGTGCGCCATTTGTCATGCTACAAACGATTGTAACGTACAGAGAGAAAAAATCAGTAATCCTCTCAAATGTTTCTACGATGTTTAACGCGGATTACACTCCTCCCTTTTTCACGCAGCGAGCCCACACTAGTTTCCGATGGGATTTAAAGTGAAATCGCTTGTATGCAAAGCGGCTCGAGCGAGTACCGTTGAATCGAACCCATTCACATGCCGAACGTAGCTTCTAATTACAATTACACCGGTGTACATCGCGGGTCGACGTGTTCCCGTGGCCAAGGACAGGGTCCTCGTCATTTCAAGGCCGACCCTGTCCATTCTGAAGTGTACCGTACTTAAAGGTCGCGGGAAATCGTTAGCTGGACTGGACGAACACGCGGCGTGGCAGAGGAACGAACGAGGAGAGGATTTAGCCGGGAGAAAGAGAACGAGCTGAGTGCAATGGAACGTGATTCAACGTACCTAGCGATGGAAGCAAACATTTCGTCAGTAGCTTCGAAACAGCTGTACAGAGTTTACGATCAAACCAGCTTTCCAATCCCGGGATTACCAAAGAGCTGGCAACTGGAGCAGTATAAAACATATTTCTACTTGTTCTCAAATTTTTCAGAATTAAAAAAACAAACCCTTTGCTCTGGAATGGCGACACTAAAACACCAACCAAAATTTATCATACTGTGATATCAGACAATTTTTATGTTACTGTTTGTATTGAATACATTGTTAAAAATTCAAGTGTGACACGAAAAAGTATTCAATTATTTCTACTTGCAAAAAGAGCTCTAGAGTTAAAATGTCTTCAACCGCAAAGGATTCAAATCTGAATGAAGTGAGAATTTTAAAACTCGAGCAATCTGTTTTTGATCTGGATGTACCTGTGTACATTTCGTTCACCTACATTAACGATCATTGCTCCCAGCGGTCTAAAAACAATTTAGGTGATTTAAACACAGGCTAACGTCTGTGCCATATCGTCAGAGTTCTGTGGGCAAATGTTCCTTAAGGATCAATCAGAACTGTAACGATTAATTAATAGGTCAAGCTAATGTTAAAGTTCTGCGATGTTAATTAAAAAATTTCCGTATCTCATAAGGGAACATATTCGAATTATATGAATGAACTTTTCAAAGAAAGAGCTCAAAGCAAATTACTGTAAAGATCTTTTAAAATGAAATATCTTCGTTGCATATTATTTTCAGGACAATTTCTTTGGTCATATTAAAAGTAACAAAACGACGAAGCAATTAATTATTGGAAATTACAGTTGGATCGATATTATTTTTGTTTTCAAATAACTGCATTGAAAATAACGATCCGTAATGAATGATTTTAAATACTTATGTATCTTTTATTTGCGATTCAAATAAAATTTGCCCAGGTCTGAGGAGAAGAATACTTCACCATCTTCCACTCTTTGGTTTTAAAGACTTAAACCCACTGTGGTCGAGGATTTTCTAAAGCTTTACGAGCATTTTCCTCGGAGAACTAGATTGTGCATCGTAGTCTTAAATAACGGAAACAATGGACAATAAATCTTCGTTCTTTTTACGTACGTAATTAAATTATAAGTATGCAATTTCTGGAATAAAATGTAATACAGATCAAACGATGTGCGAGCTTCCACCTTGCAGGTTGTCTTCAATGCGAACAATGGCCAATAGAAAGAAGCATGTGACGTCTATTGCTCTAAAAGCTGTTCTTTACAACAAGCCTCGTCGAAATCGACTTCTAAAAAACTCAAAAACATCCCTCCTTACCTCTTTCTTAAATTTCGCTACAATGTCTGAGAATCTAATTAGCGGCGACCCAGGACATTTAAATTGCGGCAGTCAGAACACGTGAACAGTATCAGTGTGTACCATTTGCGTCGATGGTAAATACACACAGGACTCGGCTGCGTCGGCGAGCGTAGGCAGGCTGTGCGAACCGGCCGATATGAGCCAGATGCGAGGCTAACAGCTGAATGGAAGCACACATTTCGAACAAGCGATAAGGAGTCGTGGGTGTCGCCCGGTGACTACGCTCTTCTGCTTCCTTTCTGTCGTTTCCCCATACATGGTTAATTACGCGCGGAAATCGCTGGAATCGCAACTAAACCGGTCGTACAGGAAATCCGAAAGGCGACGATCGGCGAGTATGTTTCAACTGCCGATAATGTTTCAACGGATCCCGCGAGGACATCGATACCGTCTTGACGAACGAGAGACACGGTCACGTGGCGAACAGTATCCACGGATGAATCAGAAGCAACGGAGCAGTTCGCGCGCGGACTCGTTTTTCTCGTCGGCCGTCGCAGCGCCGAGTATTTTTGCCGGTGCAATTTTCACGCTAATAAGTCACAAGCCACACAGTGACACACCATCGCGGCCGGCGAGGCCTCCAGGCGCCGCGCAGCGGAAATTTCCATTCGCGAAAACCATTGGCGTAACCGACCGCGAACTTCGCGCGTACAGATCGTCGCACAGCCAACTTCTCCCCGGGTGTTCTTATCGTGGCGATCATCGAATTCATGGGGAACCAGTTACTCTATCTGTGCTGTTACCGTATCGCGGCGAGATTCCAGGAGCAAAAAATCGCGAACGACTGGAACTCGCGTTCTTTCTTCTCGCGATTTTTACTTTGAGGTTATGATAACCTCCTGCGTAAATGGTTAGAAATCGGGAAAGGCAAACGATATCCAAAAGCAGTTCGAGTAGAAATTATATCGTACCTTTAAGTACGCGAATCTGTGCGAACATTACATTTTTGTCTGTTTTGTCAAAAATTCCTTTGTCTAAGTAGTAGTTCAAATCAAAGTTACGATCGTATTTTCGGATTTATAATTTTCTTTGTAATTTCTTCGAGAAAGTCGTGTTTCTCTTATTTTCGTAAATAAATTATTTACTTTTCAAAATGTAATGTAATTAATTTCTCCGTTAACACTTTGACTGTGCCCGTGACACCCATAATTTTTACGCTAATTTATTGAATCTTCCTGATTGCATTGGAATCCGAAAAACGTAAGAATGCTGAACAAGTCATTGCTGTCATACAGACAACTTCTCAATTTCAATTTAATTAAATAAAATAGTTTAATTGTACGAGATTTCTGCAGTTGCTAGCACTGCGGTTGCAATCAAAATGTCAAGGTAGGAAAGTGTCACGAACGAATTACGGCTAACCGCAACATACGACAGATCTATGCAACGTCAGTGCAAAGTTTCATCAATAATCGGCGTCTATCGATCACCGGGGTTTCCTCGTAAGTGACAAACACTTAAGATATAACGCAACGACTATGTTCTGTTTACTCACATTCCAGAGGATAGTAATCGCTGCTGATTTAACGTGCAACGATTTCCTCGCAGCTAAATCAAGCCGAATTCAATTGCGAAATTCTTTCGCAGCGCTTGTAATCGATCCCACCGCCTGGCGCCACAACGAAAACGTCGCATTCCCGCGTTCCAGGTCAACTGCGCCATGAGCTTCCAAAAGTTCTATTCTTTTTGTTTACTCGGCCGATGACTTTCCGTGTACCTAAATCTCGCCGAACCCGTATCGCATGCGTTACGACGCACAGTGGCACGGATCCCCGAAAACACATAATAAATGAATAGTATTGTTATGTTTACATCTTTCATTATAAATAAAACAGTTTTAGGGATATTTTGGGTTGTAGAATCCGGTTATGATATTATCTTTTTAGTACGATAAAAGATTATGTTTATAAATTTTACTAAAATTTGTTTAATTTAGTAATTATTCCAATTTATACCCTTATTTTCCGCATATTTTATAGTATCTATATAAAAATAAATATTCAGGTTACAGACGCATCGTATAATGAAATTTTAGAATGGATTAAAACGTATGAATTTCATTTATGTCATTTTACTACATAGAATGAGAGAGAGAGAGAGAGAGAGAGAGAGATACCATGTTGTAGGTCATTGTACTCGTCGCAACGAACACTGTTATATCGTGGATAAAATAATACGGGCTCCCATTTAAAAATATTAATTCGACTTCAGTATCTCTCCCACCACTACACCCGTAGGAATATTGTTTATATCATTTAACGTTCCCCTCTGTACCAAACAACTTTTATAGGAACATACTTTTGATAGCTTTAGGTCCTCGCGAAATATCGGGTTAAATAAATCGGTGCGGAGAGTGATCTGACGCGAAGGTGTTTGATTTGACGCTGCGGTCTTTCACGCATTGGCTACAAATAAATCGTTATAACTTCTGCAGATGCAAACCGATGTAAAAAATTCTTCTTCAGACATCTTCTACAGAGACTACCAAGAACGTTTTTGCGAGATTCATCGTGACGCGGCGTGAATTCCAACTTGTAGCTGTAATCAAAGCAAAAACGAAGTCGAGAAAATAAGGATTTAAAAAGAAAACGATTTCGGGGAGGTAAATTATATTTATCCCTTTATCGCTCCTGGGATTTATAGCTAAAAGTATGCTCTTTAATCATACAGAAAGTTGATGTAATAATTGGATGGAACCAAAACAAAAACTGAATTAGGTAAAGAACAACTACTGTACAATCGTTCTGGAATAAACGTTTTTCCGCATTATGAAACACAATGAGTTGATTTTTGGCAACTCGTAACATGCAAAATGTTAGTTCATGGATATGAGAATCTATATCTAAAGTTTCATACATTTTCAGAAAGTTTGAAAATTTGACGTTAGTTCGTGTTTTCATGGATCCGTACCACTGCGACGCCGACGCGCCAGTCGACCTCGCAGTTTCTTTTCGGTGAAAAGTATCGATCTCATCTTGAAATGGAATGTATGTAGTGCCGATAGGCTAGAACGATTCATTTATAATCGAAATATCTGCCTTCTTGTGTATCGAAAGTCGAACGCTCCAATGTTTCCTTTTCATTTATATGCAGTGCCGGACATAAAGTGTTAATCGTGTCACCTCTTAAGTTCAGTGATCCCAGTACCAGATTTTCCAGGGACATTTCTAAAGACATACATTACAAGGTTCAGTAAAAAAAGATCGATCTTTGTCACAGAAAGAAAGAAGAAATCTCCCCTGGAAATCACGCGGCCGTCGATTATGAAATTTCATCGCAATCCTCATCTGACGCAACAACAGAGACTCGACTCTGCTGATTCTCTAACTCTCTCAACTCTTCCAACTTCTCCAAATCTCTCAACTCTCTCAACTTCTTCAAATCTCTCAACTCTCTCAACTCTTCCAACTTCTTCAACTCTTTCAACTTCTTCAAATCTCTCAACTCTCTCAACTCTTCCAACTTCTTCAACTCTTTCAACTTCTTCAAATCTCTCAACTCTCTCAACTCTTCCAACTTCTTCAACTCTTTCAACTTCTTCAAATCTCTCAACTCTCTCAACTCTCTCAACTCTCTTACTTCTCAAAATCTCTCATCTCTCTCAACTCTTCCAACTTCTTCAAATCTATCAACTCTCTCAACTCTCTCTCTCAACTCTCCCAACTTTCTCAACTCTCTCAACTCTTCCAAATCTCTTAACTCTCTCAACTCTTCCAATTTCTTCAAATCTCTCAGCTCTCTCAACTCTTCCAACTTCTCCAAATCTCTCAACTCTTTCAACTCTCTTATCTCTTTTACCTTACTTCCAACTTCTCCAAATCTTTCAACTTTCTCAATTCTCTCAATCCTCTTACCTCTTTCAACTGTCTCAACCCTGTTATTTCTCTCAACTCTCTCAACTTTCTCAACTCTCTCAACTCTTCCAAATCTCTCAACTCTCTTACTTCTCAAAATCTCTCAACTCTCTCTCAACTCTTCCAACTTCTTCAAATCTATCAACTCTCTCAACTTTCTTACTTCTTCAAATCTCTCAACTCTCTCAACTCTTCCAACTCTCTCAACTCTTCCAATTTCTTCAAATCTCTCAACTCTCTCAACTCTTCCAACTTCTCCAAATCTCTTAACTCCTGTCTCTTATACACATCTAGATGTGTATAAGAGACAGCTTCCAACTCTCTCAACTCTTCCAATTTCTTCAAATCTCTCAACTCTCTCAACTCTTCCAACTTCTCCAAATCTCTTAACTCCTGTCTCTTATACACATCTAGATGTGTATAAGAGACAGCTTCCAACTCTCTCAACTCTTCCAATTTCTTCAAATCTCTCAACTCTCTCAACTCTTCCAACTTCTCCAAATCTCTTAACTCCTGTCTCTTATACACATCTAGATGTGTATAAGAGACAGCTTCCAACTCTCTCAACTCTTCCAATTTCTTCAAATCTCTCAACTCTCTCAACTCTTCCAACTTCTCCAAATCTCTTAACTCCTGTCTCTTATACACATCTAGATGTGTATAAGAGACAGCTTCCAACTCTCTCAACTCTTCCAATTTCTTCAAATCTCTCAACTCTCTCAACTCTTCCAACTTCTCCAAATCTCTTAACTCCTGTCTCTTATACACATCTAGATGTGTATAAGAGACAGCTTCCAACTCTCTCAACTCTTCCAATTTCTTCAAATCTCTCAACTCTCTCAACTCTTCCAACTTCTCCAAATCTCTTAACTCCTGTCTCTTATACACATCTAGATGTGTATAAGAGACAGCTTCCAACTCTCTCAACTCTTCCAATTTCTTCAAATCTCTCAACTCTCTCAACTCTTCCAACTTCTCCAAATCTCTTAACTCCTGTCTCTTATACACATCTAGATGTGTATAAGAGACAGCTTCCAACTCTCTCAACTCTTCCAATTTCTTCAAATCTCTCAACTCTCTCAACTCTTCCAACTTCTCCAAATCTCTTAACTCCTGTCTCTTATACACATCTAGATGTGTATAAGAGACAGCTTCCAACTCTCTCAACTCTTCCAATTTCTTCAAATCTCTCAACTCTCTCAACTCTTCCAACTTCTCCAAATCTCTTAACTCCTGTCTCTTATACACATCTAGATGTGTATAAGAGACAGCTTCCAACTCTCTCAACTCTTCCAATTTCTTCAAATCTCTCAACTCTCTCAACTCTTCCAACTTCTCCAAATCTCTTAACTCCTGTCTCTTATACACATCTAGATGTGTATAAGAGACAGCTTCCAACTCTCTCAACTCTTCCAATTTCTTCAAATCTCTCAACTCTCTCAACTCTTCCAACTTCTCCAAATCTCTTAACTCCTGTCTCTTATACACATCTAGATGTGTATAAGAGACAGCTTCCAACTCTCTCAACTCTTCCAATTTCTTCAAATCTCTCAACTCTCTCAACTCTTCCAACTTCTCCAAATCTCTTAACTCCTGTCTCTTATACACATCTAGATGTGTATAAGAGACAGCTTCCAACTCTCTCAACTCTTCCAATTTCTTCAAATCTCTCAACTCTCTCAACTCTTCCAACTTCTCCAAATCTCTTAACTCCTGTCTCTTATACACATCTAGATGTGTATAAGAGACAGCTTCCAACTCTCTCAACTCTTCCAATTTCTTCAAATCTCTCAACTCTCTCAACTCTTCCAACTTCTCCAAATCTCTTAACTCCTGTCTCTTATACACATCTAGATGTGTATAAGAGACAGCTTCCAACTCTCTCAACTCTTCCAATTTCTTCAAATCTCTCAACTCTCTCAACTCTTCCAACTTCTCCAAATCTCTTAACTCCTGTCTCTTATACACATCTAGATGTGTATAAGAGACAGCTTCCAACTCTCTCAACTCTTCCAATTTCTTCAAATCTCTCAACTCTCTCAACTCTTCCAACTTCTCCAAATCTCTTAACTCCTGTCTCTTATACACATCTAGATGTGTATAAGAGACAGCTTCCAACTCTCTCAACTCTTCCAATTTCTTCAAATCTCTCAACTCTCTCAACTCTTCCAACTTCTCCAAATCTCTTAACTCCTGTCTCTTATACACATCTAGATGTGTATAAGAGACAGCTTCCAACTCTCTCAACTCTTCCAATTTCTTCAAATCTCTCAACTCTCTCAACTCTTCCAACTTCTCCAAATCTCTTAACTCCTGTCTCTTATACACATCTAGATGTGTATAAGAGACAGCTTCCAACTCTCTCAACTCTTCCAATTTCTTCAAATCTCTCAACTCTCTCAACTCTTCCAACTTCTCCAAATCTCTTAACTCCTGTCTCTTATACACATCTAGATGTGTATAAGAGACAGCTTCCAACTCTCTCAACTCTTCCAATTTCTTCAAATCTCTCAACTCTCTCAACTCTTCCAACTTCTCCAAATCTCTTAACTCCTGTCTCTTATACACATCTAGATGTGTATAAGAGACAGCTTCCAACTCTCTCAACTCTTCCAATTTCTTCAAATCTCTCAACTCTCTCAACTCTTCCAACTTCTCCAAATCTCTTAACTCCTGTCTCTTATACACATCTAGATGTGTATAAGAGACAGCTTCCAACTCTCTCAACTCTTCCAATTTCTTCAAATCTCTCAACTCTCTCAACTCTTCCAACTTCTCCAAATCTCTTAACTCCTGTCTCTTATACACATCTAGATGTGTATAAGAGACAGCTTCCAACTCTCTCAACTCTTCCAATTTCTTCAAATCTCTCAACTCTCTCAACTCTTCCAACTTCTTCAACTCTTTCAACTTCTTCAACTCTCTCAACTCTCTCAACTCTCTTACTTCTCAAAATCTCTCAACTCTCTCTCAACTCTTCCAACTTCTTCAAATCTATCAACTCTCTCAACTTTCTTACTTCTTCAAATCTCTCAACTCTCTCAACT